TATTTATGCAGATACTGTTTAAAGCTTTTTTTTTTATGAATTTAACCATAATACTTTGTTTGATTGGAGAGAAAACATGAGAGGAAAACAAGAAAGAAAATACATTTTCTCCTATTTGGATGAAGAAGAAAAAGTAAGAAAAAAGAAAAGTTAAAAAAAATATAATGAAGTGTGAGACCCATCATATTTTTCTTCTAATTTTTCTCTCCAAAAGTAGAGAGATTTTGAGAGTAAACTATTATTTTCACTATCTATTCTCCCCTCTCTCTTCCTCTCTTACTCACTTCAATTACATTAATTCCTAACAAATAATCAGATTTTGATCTCCATAAAAATTTGTGTCTTTAACTTTCTAGAACCAATTTAATTTTAACAACTAATTTTAATATAATTTAATTTGATGATGTCGATTTTAATATAATTAATTTGATTTTAAGAAATAGAAACAGAACTTGAGTCTTTAGCTTTCTACATTTTTTAACAACTAATTTGATTTTAAATTAATTTGATGATGTTAATTTTAATATAATTTATTCTTTCAATTTATTTTTACAAAAATAATTACATTAGATATGATATATACTGATATAAGAGTATTATAGTCATTATGATATTTATTCATTTTCTTTTCTTCCTATTTTCTCTTGTCCATCCAAACATAATGGGTGATAACATTTTCTTTTTAAGTTTCCTTTTCCTTCATTTTCTTTCTTCTCAACTTTTCTTCCCATTCAAATGGAGGGTAAGTGTTATAGTACCTGTATGAATAGTAATGGTGTTAAAAAAATTAATGGTTAGTGTTTTTTTTGCAATGAATTTAAAAATTTAGAATTTATTTTATATATTTTAAGAGTTCAAGATCTTTTCAAGCAATAATTTAAAATCTTATTTACTCATTAATTCTTTATTTTTTATCCTAGGACATATTAAAATTAGTTATAGATTATTTTTATCCCTCAACATTATAAATGTCGTCCTTGCCGCCCTTAATGTTATTTTCTCATCATGTGGATCCAATGGTTAAAATTTTTAGTATTTTTATTATAAAATACTCTATTGTTTAGGAAATCCCACCATTTTTGCAATATTTTTTATTTTTTATTTTTAGGGGGTCCCACTTCATCTCCCTCTCCCCTCCCTCTCCTCCCCATGTCATCCATTCATGTTCGTCCATTCATCTCCCGACAAGGTGAGCCACACCAGAGCCAACAAAGGCCATAAAAGTGCAGTGAACTGGTGGACGTTTAAGATATTCTTGTACGAGCTTCGTTTGGAAGAACACCATTCAAGGGGTCAGTAACAAAGCGACTTTGTTCAATGTGGTGCTGCAACCGTTGAGGTTTCCAGAATCATCGACCGTTAGCTTCGTTGCTAGGGATTTGATCAGAGGATTGCTCGTGAACGAGCCTTAGCATCAATCTCAAGGCCCCATTACTCTGTTCTTCATAAAGAGCCAGCTCCTCAGCCTCTTCTCCCCCTTGCTTCCTCTGCAACTCCCAAGTTCTCTCTCTTCCTTGGCTATGGTGCTTGCACGAGCTATGCTTGTGATAGCCATGTCCTTGGCTTTCATCTTATTATCCATTGCCCAAGGTCCCTCCCTTGCACCCAGAGGATATGCCGAGCCACCAACAACCACTGCAACACCTTCTCCGAGCAAGTTAGCTCCTCCCATCGCCTCATCTCAGCCTCTGACGTCTTCTCCCTCGACTTCTTTGCCATCTTCTTCCCCACCTCTGTCACTCCCACCAAGGGCCGGAGGCGCCAGCCCATTAGCAAGCTCGCCAACTCCTTTGGAGGTCCAAGGATGACGGCAGCTTGTAGGGACTTATTTGTTGGATCGTACTTTGTTGGCATGGCGGACGCTCTTTCTTCAATGCTATACATGAATATGGCAAAAGCTCGTGTTTTATGGAGGAAGCTTATCGTTCAAGACGTTCTTGACAGAAGCTCATCGTTTTTGCTTTATACAAAAACAAGAGAGGATAGAGAGAGAGAAAGTGACGGAGGGAGAAATATTTTTATATTATAAAAATATTCAAGAAATGATGGGACCTATTAAGTAATATTTTATAATAAAAAATATTAAAACATTCAAACGTGAGGCTCACAAGATGGCGAGCTGGAGCTGGAGGCAACTCAACTGGAGGCAGAGTCAGAGGCATGAGCTCGCGATCTCGACAACGACGTGAAACTCTGGACTCTGAAGCTGGGTTGAGGTCGTCACGAGCTTCCCTTCACACCGGCAACACAAAATGTTGGAGCTAGGTTGAAGGTAGAGGCACGCCGGCACCAGCATCAGAGATTAAGCGAGCCCAGAGAGGAGAATGGCGAGAGGCCGGGGGGGTGCGAATCCGTGATTGAGATGATGAGCTGAGTCTGAGAGGTGAGATGAGATCTAATTTGAGATTGAGACGAGACTTTGAGAGCTGAGTTGAGACTTGAGAGACAGAGGTCTTTTTTTTTTTTTTTTCTTTCTAAAGTTTGACCCGGATTTAACCGCATCGGTTCTGGATTAAATCCGATTCTTTCAATTCAGCCCAGGTCAATCAAGTCCAAATATTAAATTAGTTTAAGTGGTTGGACCAAGCTAATTTATTCAGCAGGTGGCGGTCGGATCATCTGACGGTTCGGTTTTCACAACACAGGTTCAAGGGGAGAAGAGGTCCTGGTTCTGTAAATTTCAATGGCAATAATAATATTTGGCAAATGGAGAAGAAGAGGAGAGAGAAAGTGAAATTAATTTGGTTTCTCATTCATTTCAGTTTTTTTTTTTTTTAACCAGCAGTATGTTACTTTTCCTGAAACAAATAGATCAAATACATCGGAAGCCTGAGAGCATAGGAATGTAAAAAGTTCAGAATTAAACCAAGCACGGGAGACAAGTTCAAATTTCTTCGGCTTTGGACCTTACAGGGGATCCCACTCCAAGTCCAGGGAAAGCACTCCACAGCTACCCTAAAGTCTCTGTAGTATTTCCATTTTATTTTTCGATCCCTATTAAAATAATTACTAATTTAAGAAAAATCTCAGAAATTATTAATAATTTTCTAAATTTTTCCATATTGAATTTCCCTACTCTAATGACGCACTCCTTATTTCCATTCTAATTATTTCACACAATTTTAAGTTTTTTTACTTGATCCTAAATATTGGACAAATACATAATTGTTTTTTCAGTTTTTAGACAAATGGTAGACTTCTCGCATATAAATAGTTATATACATAGGAGTTAAAATTTGAACCCTCAGTTACTTATTCAAGTGGCAAGAGCCCTCATCACTCATGTTAATTTTAATTTGGTTTGTTGACATGCTTTTTTTTTTTTTATGGAAAGTTTGTTGACATGCTTTTAATTTATATATAATATTTTATTATGATCATCAATCTCAACTAAAGACAAAATTAGAGGTTTAAAGAATTAACTACCACCCTGTAAAAATGGTAAAATTAATTAATTTTATCCTATAATTAGGATTTAAAGTAGTACTCTCTTTTCCACATTTAATGTGAGATAAAAGAAAAAAATTGTGATAAAAAATTAAGGGAGAATTTCAATAAAGATCCTTGAACTATCTTATTTAAATTCAAAGCTTCTAAATTTTTGAAATTTCATTATGATTCAAGGTTACTAACTTGGTATTAAATTTTTGAGAAAAATAATAAAATTATCCCTCATTTAAATTAATATTACAACTAACATACTTCACTTGCTTATATACTTACCGAATATTATTAATTGCACTACTTCACTTTTTTTTTTCTAGAATGAAATTAAGCGAAAGTCTGACAATAAACAAGTAATGTAAGGCAATGAATAATAATTCGTAAGTAAATAAACATTATATAATATAAGAATTGATAAGTTATTTTAAGATGATTTAAATACCTAAAATGAAAACAAGTAGAGCAGTGAACAATACTCCATAAGTAAATTAATAAATGAAATAAGATGATAAACAAATAAAGTAGGAAAGTTTTGGTATTAATTTAAATGAGAGATAATTTTGTCAACTCTTTCAAAAACTTAATATCAAATTAACATCCTTAGACTGCAATAAAATTTTAAAAATTTAGAAGCTTTAAATTTAAATAAGCATAGTCCAAAACCTTTATTGAAATTATTCTCCCCAAAATTAATGACATATTTTATAATGTGGATCATTTTTTTCTCTTCCGCCTTTATAAATGAAAGGAATTAGGGATATTACCCGAGCACATGCATGTGAAATCTGCCTTCCCTGGTGGGACAACGTCATCATTGCTCCTCAATTATTTGTTCCTCTCTTTATTTTTGTTTCTCAATTTTTCTACAAAAACCTGTGCCCAATCTATTCAACTCTTCATTCAATTATATCTTACATATTCAAATACTATACGATCACTATCAGTCTATCAGTCGTCCCCTCTACTTTGTTGCTAAACATGGCACAGCTGAGTTTCTTTGTTGGCGTCATAGTTTTCAAAATAGCATTTTTCGCCTCCTCCTATAATGCACTGCTCTATATGTATATATATATGTTGTTAATTATGACCATATAACTCATCTGCTGAACTGGTTGCAGGAAACATCATCTCAGTTCTCATGTTTCTGTCTCCAGTGTACGGCTCCTACTTCCTCCTCCTCCATATAATCTAGTGATCGATCTGTTCCTCCACCATACATGTGTGTATGAACAAGTTTATTTTTTATAATTAAATTGCAGGCCGACATTCTGGAGAATAATAAAGCATGGATCTACGCAAGAATTTGAAAGTCTGCCTTACGTTTGCACATTGCTAAACTCGTCTTTGTGGACTTATTACGGATTGATGAAGGCCGGAGAATACCTCTTCGCCACCGTCAACAGCTTCGGGATTGTGGTAAAACCGCCTACGTTATCCTGTTTCTTATATATGCTCCGACCAAGATGAGAGTAAGCTTTTGAAATCTAGCATGACTCCCGTTGTACAATATATTTATATATCTATGAATTAACTTGATAGGTAAATAATAATGAATTAATGAGATTGGCACAGGCCAAAACTGGGATTCTGGTCGGAATTTTAGATGTGGGATTTTTTGGAGTGGCCATAATAGTAACTCAAATAGCGTTGCACGGAGGAGTTCGGACCGATGTCGTCGGAATTATGGGTGCTGCTTTGAACATTCTCATGTACGGATCTCCTCTATCTGCCCTGGTACGTGTAACACTGTAACCCTATCTCTTAACTTCAATCTCCCTTCCTTCTTCCCGACACCACACATTTCTCTGCTTAACTTTTAAGATACTATTCAAATTTAATGTCATCACTTATGAGTCCCACCTGGGAAAAAACCTTGCAAGATAAGCTTCGTTTATAAATACATGAGAGGTTCTCTTGACACTTTTAATCTTTTGAAATTGATTCTTCTTTTGAATTTACGCTGGCAACATTGATGGATGTTTTCATTAAAAAGTTAAAGCCATTGAGAGTATTACCTAGAAAGCCTTTTGACTGACAAGAGATCGAGTAGAGTACTGTGGAATAGAGTTGTTGAAAGTATTGACTCTCAAACGATGTTGTATTGTTAATGATTCCCACAATGAAAAACCTCATATAAATGCATTTTATAAATTTAGGGCTCTCCCAGTTAATTTGGGATGAGCTTTTAAAATGTGCTCGTAACATTTAATTACCTCCATAAATTCTTGGTAATGATATTTGCTGGCATATAATGACATATATACAAGACATAGATGGTATAGTTGCACATTCAGCGTGGAGATGAAATGATTAACTGTGCGAGATATATTGATGTGGCTAATTGAAAGCATGTGAAATACTATTACAGTATTCCACATTCACGATTGGCTTCCGAACTGTTAAGCACCATGGTGCTGATCACTTCATATGTATTTTTAGATAGTCCAGATTTTAATATTTTATTTTTATATTTATTATAAAAAATTATAAAATTTTAATATATTTATTTTATCATCAATATAGACAATACAAATTTAATTTAGACAGTCTAATTCAATAATATTTTTTATATATTTTATAAATTGACTATCTAAAGGTATTCTTGACAATCTGAATTTAATATCAAATTTTTTAAAACTTTTATAATTTTTTTAGAAAATATCATATTAAAAATAAAAATAAAAATAATATTCAAAATGACACTTTAAAAAAATTAAGAAAAAGTTACAATTTAAAGATTTTAAACATAGACTATCCAAAGTTCATTTGACTAGTTAATTTATATAAATATTATATTAAATTAGATTATTTAGATTAAATCTATACTATTCACATTGATGACAAAGCAGATTTATTATCATTTATAATTTTTAGTCAAATAAATATAAAATAAAATACAAAAATAAAATCTATAACTTTGAAATGTTCAAATTAAAAATCCAGTGCCGTTCAGATTTAAATTAAAAATCTGGACAACTCAGATTGTGGGGTCATCAAATGATGAGCATCCGCTTCCACATTCACGATGTGGCTAGAAGAGGTCCAGATGTTTAATTTGTTAAAATACGAGGCTGAAACGAAATCGACGATTGAAAATCGACACAGTGGGCCGTTTTCGCTTCTTTGTTGTATGCCCAATTCCACCGCATGCTTTTAAAACCATATATGCGTCCACGGCACGTCATATTCACGCCTACTTCCTCCCTATTTTGTGGTGCTTTTCCTTGGGACTTCTTTATCGGTTTCTTCTTTGTTAGTTACTTTACATATTCTCTTTATTTAAAAATATAAAATATTTTTTTAAAATTAAATGTTTAAAAATATAAAATATTTTTAATATTTTGAGTTGTAATCATTATTTAAAAAAAACCCTATTAATAATAACTTTATATATATTTATTATAGGATGTTTAATAACGAAAATATGAAAAGACAGAGTTAGTTTAAAATTAGGTAACTACTTTATTAGGGGAGAGATTTAATTAAACTATCTTACATCTTTTAACAGAAGAAGCATATTTTAATTTAGAATAAAAATTTTTAGTCCTTCAAATTTGCCTTAGCTATCAATTTGGTCCCGCAAATTTAATTTTTGTTGATTTGATCCCTTATGTTTTTTTAATTACCATGTGAGTCCTTCAAGTTTTCAACACACTCTCAAAATAATTTAATGTGTAAAGCTTATTGATGACTTAGCATGCATGTATAGCTAAATGGAAACAAACTAACTCTCAAATTAGTTTAATTTAACTTTTATCAATGTAATCCCTTTTATTATGTTTTGTTCTCTTGTTTTTTTTAAAATTTTAGAGTTTTTTTCCTACCTAAATAATTATCCTTCTTTTTATTAATCTATATGGTTGCCATCTATATTTTGCTATTAATATCATAAAAGTTTAAGAGTGCAACCTCATTTTCAAATAATGGGGACCAAATCAATAACCAAAATAAATTTAAGAGACCAAAGTGATAAAAATTAAACTTGAGGGATCAAATTAATAACTAAGACCAATTGAAAGGACTGAAAGTTGTGTGATTCATTTTAATTTCATTTCATATAAATCACAGTTTGATATTTATGATGGCAATAATTATTGTTTATCAATTAATGTGTAGAGATCAGTGGTGAGGACCAAAAGCGTGGAATATATGCCATTCTTACTTTCCTTGTGCATGTTTTTTAATGGTGGCGTTTGGGTGCTATACGATCCTTGAAAGCGATTGGATCTTGGGGGTGAGTATTAAAAATATTAATAATTTGATTGAAGTCATTAATGTTAATTATGAAATTAACATGGAAGTGTGTGTGTGTGTGTGTGTGTGTATCTATTATTAAGGTGCCAAATGGAAGTGGGTTTTTGCTTGGAGCGATACAACTGGTGGTGTATGCAATCTACAGAAATCCTAAATCCAGCAACAAATTCAACCCAAACAATGAGCACCACCAAGATCCTCTCATATTATCATCTTGACCGTTCAAATCAATCCTGCTGCTTTTTTTTTTTTTTCCTTTCCTGGTGAAAAAAATGAATGCTACTTAAAATGCACTACGCTGAATAAGTTGTAATTAGTCTACTTTATATAAACTCATATGTATGGACTTTGGAGTTTTGTGCAACGATGGAACCCAAGTATAAGTATGTATACTTTCACGGGTTTTTATTATAAAATATTTTTAATTATTTCATGCATATTAAAAAAATAATTTTTGATTGATATGATAAAAAAATAAGATGTACTTTATTTCTTTTTTACCTTTTACTTTTAATAATGATATAACTATATGAAATATTTTTATGTTAACCAATAAATGATAAAATTGAAAATGTAATTTAAATATAATAAAGTGTCCTATATTTTATATTAAAAGTTATTTTTAAAAGTTTTCTATAAATAGAATTTGAGAGAGTAACTAATAAAATTTAGCATAATGCTTTACATTACTGAATTGTTGACATTAATATCAGTTAATAAAAACAAAAAAGCCCGTGGATCTGAAAAATAGAACCTCCCAGACCTTAACAGCAAGGAATCTAAATACAAGCCTCAAACTTGATCCCGGAACAGAGATGTGACAAAAAATACCTTCACCACATTTCCAATGCCATTTCACAACAATTGATCTCCTTAAAAATATGATATACTTCCATTCTTTATTCCCCTTCAAGAGCAAATCTTCTTAATGCCAAGATCCCACGTAACTTTTAATGTGACTGTAATCCTATACCATGTTGTAGAAAGCATTCCTTTATAGTTGTTGTCTGATAGATAAATTGATAAAAGAAAAAAAAAAAGAAAACGATGCTTCAAATGGGATTGGCAATATATAAATATATCATCTCTTTGATAAATATTTTTGTCCTGCTAAAAATAAACTAAAATTAAAATTGCCACACCAAAATTAAAATGCTTTTATATTACTTAAAGGGAATGATTGGAAATAGTAATGGAAAAAGGAAGCGATGTACCAGAAATTATTTATATTATACACACACTACATCCAAAAGAAGAAATAATCTTTCATCAACATCCTCCTCTTAAAAAAAGGCGGAAGGCTATCTAAGACATTAAAAGAATAAGGCATTTCATGGCCTTTTTTACCTAGCAAGTCAGCAACTTAATTCGAATCTCAACACCAACAAAAATTTTAGCTATCAATAGAGGTATCAACATAGAAATCACTTTTAGAAGCATATAAGACTGTTTGGGCTAAAATTGAAACATCGCTTACCAAGGGCCATAACCTAAAGTAGACTGAATAACTGAAGAATTAGACTCAATAAGAGATTTAAACAAAAAGGGCTAGTTCAGATCCCAGAGAATAACTTAGTCAGATAAGCACAAGCCCTCAAAATCCCTTTAGTTTCAAAGCCACTGCCTAGACCATTGGTATATAAAACCATAACCTCAACGACCTCGAATCTCACAAAGACATGACTATTATTCACGAGTATGTCAGAAACATGGGCTAGCCATTAAACGATGGAAAACATTGCTAATAGACCGTGCCATGAATTTCGCAAACTGTGTGTAATGAATCCTTGATACGTTCTAGATTCCATGAGAGCAACTGCCATAGCTTAATCATTATAAAAGGAGAACTAAATCATAGAAAGAAAGGGAGAACACTTATCCAAATACTGATATTTCACATCTGTAGTTCTTAGATTCATCAGATAGCTTTTACATGTAGCTTTATTTTCATTTTTAGTCTTGTAATTTTTAACGCTATGTAATCCTTTAGCATTAATCAAACTCTTGTTATTCTAATTCTTATGTATCTTTTACATTTGGGTAAACAGTGGTAAGGGAGCCTGAGGACCTTTTGTTATGAATTGAGATTTAGCGTCTCTAACATGCTTGGTAATTTATTATTCCCAACGGATAATTTATGACACGACTAGTGGGACACTATGTAGCAAGATGCCAAGGACTAGAAAAGGTAAAAAGATTGATGAAACAGGTGTTGGTTCCAATGAGCTAGAAGAAAAATATGCACCCGTAGGGTTAAAAGCATTGATAGTTGACGCTAAGACAGGTGGACATGTAATACCGATGACGACGAGAGCAGCAGCATGAGCCCTAGGTTGAAACTAGGAAGTGAATCGGTAAACCCTCTAATTACATCTAACAGTCAAGTAGCAAAAGTGCTATGTGGAATCTAGGACCATGTGGATATACAGATAGAGGAGAATCAAAAGTTCTTTGCTATCGTCCTGGAAACGTTAAAATACAGAGAGGGAGAGAGAGAGATAGCAACTTATGATGCAGCTTTGCATAAGGGAATGAAGAACTTGGCCGCATCACTGAGAAGGATACCTCTATAAGCAGACTCAAACTTGGGGCCGTAAGGAGGACACAATCAGGAACTAATACAATTATTGGGTGAGAGTTTTCCTAGGAAAGGAGTAGATAAAATTCATATGATACTTTTAACTGCCTTCAGTACATGAAAGCTAAGCCTTGTTTCATTGTTTATTGAGGGCTAAACTTAGCTAACCCCACTTGTTTATCGAGGAGATTAGTTTAGAGTTTACAGCACCCCCGAGATTTGAGAGTGGAGGAAGTCATGGTTCGAGAGTGAGTATTATGATCTTTGATCAGGTCATATCTCACAATTGATGAGCTCGGATAGTCCAGTAACACAGAAGGAGCTCTGATTGATATTATAGCCTATAGTTTCAGTCAGAAGATATATGGAAGGTATAAGAAGGAATTGATCATGGATATGTGTTTTATCTGACGTGTCGTATGATTGTTAAGTTTATGGCAAGTCATGATAGTGAATGTGCCATTGTCACACAATTGGTTGCATTGTGGCAACATAAATTGAAGTGATGTGTTGGGATAATTGTCACATGTTTGTGTGTATTATACAATATACTCTATGAATTGAATTGATAAATATGAAAGAGAGATAAGCTGTGAAATCATAACTTGTATCACATGTAAGTGAATGTTTTGAGTAATTAACTCACTCTTGTGTGTTTAATTCAATTGATATGTAATTGCATAGGGTAGGCATACTTTGGTTAACTGAGTGGCTAAACTCACCCCTCTTTTTTTAATATTTTATAGGCTCTAATTCTAATACAGAAAAGGAAAGAACTTTGGAGGCTTAAGAATTCATGAAATCCCTACTATAATGCCTCCTCATTCCATTTATTTTGTGTAATGTATTGAATATTTTAGTCATATTTTGCATATACTTGCACTTACAGAGGTTTATGATCTTTGGAATTTATTTTGGGCTTTGGATTGTTGTTTGGATTATTTGTAAATGTTGATAGGGTCAAAATACTAGTGCAAGTATAGAAAATTTAATTTGATCATGCCCATGAATATTTTATGGTTAAACGTAATGCTAAAACTTTCCTCTTTATTTTTGATATTAAAGGGGTTGAGAAGTGAAATTTAATGATTGAAATTATGTGCGTGTGATGTGTTGTACATGTAGTCTTAAGTCCTTTGAGTATGTTCTAAGTGTTAGGAATTGCTTTGGGCGTATGTGTGGGGTTTTTGATACCCTTGAATTATAAAAAGTGTAAAAAGCTATGAAAATATATTTGGATATCCATCTTCCTTGTATGACTTAATTTTGAAGTATAAACTTGTGCATTAGCTAGTTTATGAAAAAAGCTTTTCGTAAATATTTAGATCACCTTATTCAGACATTGGACGGAGAAATGAGGCACGTCCGAAATTGCCCTAGGTTTCTGTCAAATGATAGTAAAATTGTTGTCTAATATGTGTAACATGGTGCTTGCGCTGTAGCATGTGGCACAGAGTATAATAGCCGTGGCACATGGTCACATGTTGTGTCGTAGTGTACTACCATGTTTCTCAGTCTTTGATATTTTTTTAACTAATTTCAAATCTTTTCACTTCTATAAAATATCTCATGCTTCTAAAATATTATTTTACTCTGATTTGAGGTTGTTTTAAGTGAGGTTTTAGTGAAATTAATTTATGAAACTTGGGGATTCTATTTCTACAAAATTCAAACTTGGTAATCTAAAAAGGAGCTTCTTATGGTTACCTTGGACTTTTATAGTTCATTGTGTTCAAGTAAGGGAGATATTACACGCGGCATATGACATAGAGTCATTTCACTTTGCTTTTCTTACTTTTTAATGTCTGGATGGCCCAATTTCACTCAAACTCAATCCTAAGGGTAAAATTACAACTCAGAACATCTGTAGCCCTCTATAATTACACCCCAAATAATTTACTCTCAATTACCCTCATTTACTTAGTTAATTTGAGATTACATTTTTTTGAATGTTACACCTTCACACTTTGCCACACAACCACAAACACCTTCACCTGTTGACTAGAGCTCCACAAGCCTCAATTATTGGAAGAGTGGCTGGAGTTTTTAGCCATAGGTTGCTAGAGCTCTAGAGACTAGAGCTTTGGTGACCAAATTTTGTGCCTTTTTCTTAATTTAGTTTTAGTTAACATAGAGGGGTATTTTGGTCATTTGATCAAATTATTCCATGAATAAAATAATAGGTTTGGTCCTTCAATTTACATAGGTCTTGGACACAATTTTGATTTTAACTATGTCTTTTCTACAAAGCATCGGTTCTTCTTTTAAATTTTATGCTTGCAACATGATTGACGTTTTCATTAAAATGTTGATGTCACCTACAAAGCCTATTGACGGACAAGAAGTCGAGTAAAGTACTGTTATGGGTGTGTAAAATCGTTGGAAAATATTGACTCTCAAACAAGGGTGCCTTGTTATGATTTCCACAATGAGAAGCCTCGTATAAATGCGGTTATATAAATTTAGGGCTCTCCCCGGTTAATTTGGAGATGAGCTTTGAATGTGTAATCGTAACATTTAATTACCTTCATAAATTCTTGTAATGATATTTTGCTGCATAATGATGTACAGTCGCAGGCACTAGATAGTGGATATAAGGACATACATGGAAGTTGCAAAAAGAATTGAATGTCTAGCTGCCCAAGAAACGACGGGTGTGCGAGTATATGAGGATTTTCAGTGTGGAGATGAAATAATTAATTGTGTGAGATATTATTGACGCAGCTAATTGCAA